CCAGTAATCAAGAATGGCAGGTAGGACTCCATTTTGCTCTATCACATGTCTGACATCTACACTTCTCACACTTGTGTGTGCCAGAGAGGCAACTGAAGACATGTAGAAATTGCAGTGTTGGACCCTATTGTAAGAGTCAGAGTTGGATATTCTGGGATAGGGTGGAAGACTGTGTCTTTCACAACTTCCTCAAGGTAATCCTGTTTGGGGAAACGCTGTTCATACAATTCCATTTCCCAGTGATTTCCTGTCTCCTTTTGGTTTCAAATGAAAAAGTAGAGCAGTGTGGTCCCCTTGGAGCTCAGCCTCCTGTCCTAGCAGTCAGTGAATTCCCATATCAGGTGGCTGTCATGACCACTCTGCTCTGTCTTGCCTCATACCAGGCTTTCTCTCACGTCCACTCTATCTGTTGGATTGTATTTTAACTTGGTGCTGGTGAACACTGTCTAGTGTTTTAAATAATTACTTTTAAATTAATACTTCTCTGTCTTGCCTCATACCAGGCTTTCTCTCAAGTCCACTCTATCTGCTGGATTGCATTTTACTTAGTGCTAGCAAATGCTGTCCAGTGTTTTAAATAATTACTTTTAAATTAATACTTACCCAAGTTTAAAAAAAAACAGTCTAACTGAACAAAAAGGTATGAAAATGAGTCTTACAGATGTATGTCATCCTGACTCCCCATTTCCCTCCCTAAAAGCCACCACTGTGAACTCTTCTGATCGTTTTGGCAATACCTTTGTGGACATTAGTACTTTGGAAAAGTTTGTGGAAAATGCAGTGAGAGTACAAGTTTACTTTGGTTCAAAGAAATTTGAAATCCATGTAATTTTCTCAAAAATACACGATTTCCATGAACTTTTAAAAACACTCCCCCTTGGGTCCAGCAGATGGCATAATGGCTATGATGCTGGACTCCCATGTATTCGTCTGGGATTCGAGTCCTGAACCCGGTGGCTTAAACTCACACCGGACACCTGTGTGTGCATGTCCAAGATCCTGAGAGGAGAATGGAGGAGAAGGGATTGTGGCATAGCCATCCTCCCAGGGTGATTTCTCGCTTTATGTCTTTCTGTCTCTCTCTGTCTTTCTGGTGAGTGCACACACCCTATGGCAAAAACCTCTAAAAAACAACAACAAAAAACTATTCCTCCTCATGCAGGAATATATACAATCTTATTTCCTACAAATGATATCAATCGATATATGCATCTCTGTGTGTGCTCTCTTCAGATAACATAGTTTTTTTTTTAATTTCATATCAATATCTTTCTATAGTTTTTCCATGGTCATCATTGTTTGTTTATTATAGGATTTTATTTGGGGGTTGACTTTTGTGTGTGTGTGTGTGTGTGTGTGTGTGTGTGTGTGTGTGTTTTGTTTTTTTGTTTGTTTTGGCTATGTGCAATGGTCATCTATTCTATTGTGCTGCTACACTTTGACTTGTTTAGCCAACACACTATCACTGGATTGTTTAAACTGGTTTCAGTTTTTCACTATGAAATAATATTTTGCAGCGACAATCTTAAAAAAAAGAAAACATTAATATGCTGGGACTAGCAGTTAGCATAATGGCTATGTCGCTGAACTCCCATGTAGTCAACCATGGTTCGAGTCCTGGAACCAGTGGCTTAAACTCATGCCAGGCGCATGTGCGTGCGTGCCCAAGATCCCAAAAGGAGAATGGAGAAGAAGGGATTGCGGCGTGGCCATCCCCTCCAGGGAGGTGATATCTCGCTTTCTGTCTCTGTCTCTCTCTGTCTTTCTGGCGAGTGCACGCGCCCTATGGCAAAAAAAAAAAAAAAAATTCTCCAACAATTAAAAAAAAAATTAATACACCCTTGAACATGTTGACAGCTATGATAGCTAACTAAACATAAACACTGTGAGAGTGAATCTTTTCACTCATCCTGTAAGCAGCAACTCAAAGCAGCTCATTACCTGCTAGGTGCACAAGAGTAAACAAAAATAAATTGAGAAGAAAGGGCACCAGAGACAAGAAAAAGAAAATGGGCTCTCAGCTACCTCACTTCATGAATACCGGAATGAGATTAGAAAATTCCATTCACACGGTTTTCCCTATTAACTTCCTTGCTTGTTTGTTTCAGAAAGTGATTTAGAAGAGAATGTCCTTCAGAAAGCCATGACATTGGAACCATGTGGACATAACTTTATCTTCAAAATCCCAATAAAATAACCATTATGCAATTTTTGACTGCCATCTCTCTGTCTGGGTTTTGTGAAGGGATGGGAGGGTCCTAAACACAACGTAAGAAAGTTCAGGGCCCCTTCTCATGGATGCTTCCCACAAGACTGCCTTCTCCTTTACATACATCCTGCCAGATGAAGGAATTCCCATTGTTCCTCCTTTGCTCTGGGCTCTATAACACAAAAGCAATGTTTTTAATTATTTTCAGATTTCTTTCTGATACCCTAGTACTTAAAAGAAATAATAAAAATATAATAAATATGAGGAACTTGAGAAACAGAATAACATTGGACCCTACTTAAAAATACAGGCAATTTCAACCTAAATGTCCACAAACCAATGAATGGATTGGAAAAGTGTGGTATATATACTCTATGGAATACTACTCAGCCATAAAAAATAACAAGACCCTGGAATTTGATAGAAAATGGTCAGATATGGAGGATCTATTGCTGAGTGAAGTAATCTAGATTATAAAAGAAAAATATTGTATGTATCCACTCAATATATACCAACTATCCGCACTCTATGATAGAGAGCAAAAAATTGGAGGACATAAAAGCAGTGAAGGTACTTAATGAGAATAGGACAGTGTGGAATGGGGGAAGTGAAGAGAAGAAGATAGAGAAAGATAGCAAGTGAACAATAGAGAGACAGGACGTTAGTGAGAAACAGATAGGGCTTATTACCTGTTGATGATGACATGTATAGTATTCTCAACTGGATTGGTCTGAGAAGTATTTCATAATGGGCAAAGTATTTTTACAAGCAAAATGAGAAATAGCGATTGACTGTTTTAAAAAATAATTAGAATAATAAAAATAATGATTGGGGAAAACATAGAAAAGATATTGAATGTTGAAGTGGGGAGATTAATGTCTCTGTACTGACTGACATGCATGGCATTCCCTTTTGAAAAAGCAATGTAATACACTGTAAAGTTATATGTAATCTAATGTAATATAAAGAAGATTATGATGATAATAAAAAATAAAAATTAAAAAATTTAAAAATACAGACAATTTCAATGTACATTTCCACCATTTCAGTTTGTCATCTACCCTATTGCATGTAATTCAAAATACAAATATATGCAAAACCAACCACTATTTTTTATTGCCCAAAACTGCACTCACTTTCCAGAGAAAGATAGAGAGAAACAGAGACAGAGAGGAAGAAAATATCCCCCAATAAGTTGTGTCACAGTGCAAAAGCTCCTCTGTTTCTCATCCTGTTGGGATTCTGTGTCTGTATGCACACGCTCTAGGTGTGTTTTTTAAGCCACTGGGGCTGAGATTAGAACCAATATCAGCCGATTATCATCTGAAAACAATTGGCTTTGCATTCCATTTCCTCTTCCCCCGTTTTCTGCCCTATGAAATAATAAACCTGAGGCTGATTCAAGGTCATGGTTTTCTCCATCAGAGAAGTAGGGATCACCCAGTCCTCACTTTTCTATACTTGTATGTCTTTGAGTGCTTATTTTTATGTTAATTTCTAATCCATAGTCCCCCAATCAGAAAAACTTACTCTATCGTGTGAGTCCCAGCAACAATCTCTCTCTCTCTCTCTCTCTCTCTATCTCTCTCCCTCTCTTTCTCTTTATCTCTCTCTCATCTCTTCCTGGCAAGTGCATATGCCCCATAGCAAAAAAAAAAATGTTTAAATCTATTCTGTCTGTGGTGTGAAAAATAATAGACTCCCAGAGAGCCATGCCCTTTCATCCCCAGAATAAGACATATTAAATCATGTGGCAAAAGGGAATTAAGGCAGTTAATCACTGAACTTAAAATAGAAAATTTTCCTGTATCACCAAGATGGACTCAATGTGATTACGTGGTCCTTCAATGTGGAAGAGGAAGGTAGAAGAGTCAGCACTAGGATGATGCGCTGTCATGTGATACCACAGGCTATTGCTAGCTAGCTTTGTAGAGCAACAGAGCTCAGGAATGTGGCCAAGGAAATGGGATTCTTCCCTAGAGCCTCCAGAAGTTCCGTTAGTTCTAATACACAGATTTTCTAAAGAGAGATTCAAGACAGACATCTAACCTAACATAAGATAATAAGCCCAGATGTGTTAAGCCACTAGTTTATGGTGGTATGTTATAATAACAATAAGAAAGTTCTCATAAGTTAATTTCCTACTATGCTGTGTCACATGTCAATAAAGATTCCTGACTAGGCCAGCCCTGTGGACTGGTGATTAAGAGAGCTGGATCCCACATAGCCAAGTGCAGAGTTCAAATCTCAGACTTGGTGGCTTGAAAAACATAGCAGGTATGTGTACATTCATGCTCAAAATCCTGACAGGATGGAGAAATGCAGACAGGATTGTGGCATGACCATGCTCCACCAGAGATTGCTTTCTCCTCTACCTCTTTGCCTCTCTCTGGTGAGTACATGCATCTTCTGGAAAAGAAAAAGAAAGAAAGAATGGATATGTTTCTAAGATACCAGAAAAATAAATCATAGATATTTCTCTCCTTTTTTCTTTTTTAATTGTAAGAGGGTACATTTGGTTGCCAGTGAGAGAGAGAGAGAGAGAGAAGGAGAAAGCTTTCCTCAATGGGGCTTATACACTAAGCAATTTCTTCCCCATTTCTCCATTCTGTCAGGATTTGACCCATGCATTCATATGTGTCCAGCATGTTGTTGTTAAGCTGCCAGGGCAGCTTGCTTAACCACTAGTATATAGGGCTGTCCCTGTTATGAATATTAATATAAATTAATACAAGACAACTAAGCAATCTGTTTCTCCATTATATATAGATATATAAAAAGTCCCTCAAAATTCAATTCAAATCAACATTTATTCAGTCTGTAGTAAATAAGACACACCTAAGACTAGCCCCTCTCCCATCCTTACACAATTTGCACTGCCCAGCCTAGGATCTTGCCATTTCCCCTCAGCTGTGTCCATCCTGTGTTTCACTAGTTTTTCAATTTTGAGATCTCAGCTGTGTAGACGGGGCTTGTTCAGAAGCTCAGAATCTTCTCAGAAAGTGGCAGATAGCAGAGTGATAGTCACAGCTCATGGAAAATGTGCTTTGTTTTCTAAGTACAAAAAAAGAAAATGAAAAAACAAATATCAGGACAAACACAATCAGCCCCATCCTTTCTTCTTTTCCACTGAGACGTTGGGTAGGTAACATAATTTCTTAAGGTGTCATTCCTTATCCTCTCTCATCCCTTGTTCTGTAAATGAGATATTCACACCTTCTCCAGGAATCCATCTACTGCACCAAGAAACCATCTCAAGGGCTTCAATAAAAGGCTCTGGAATTTTAACTGCATTATGTGTTCTATTCACCAGAAAATCTGACAGCTTTCCTTCAGGTTCTTGGTTGAATAAGATTCCATGGACTGAACTATTGGGTCACTGGGAATGTCATGATCCTTCTTGCATTAAAAAAATATATAGGAAAATACATCATGACTTTCCCAACAACCTAGTAGAATCCACATAGAAAGATTGGGAGCAAGGAATTTTGGAAGCTCAAGAGAGAAGCCTTGCTTATTATGTGCCTTTTCAGTTACTGAGAATCCCGTCAACTGGGCTTAGAATATAAACCTCATGGAGGAAAGAACTTTTCTTTAATGTCCTGCCAAGATTTCATGGCTAATTTCAGCATCTGGGCTGTATAAATTGTAGAATCCTTTTCCAGTGGATTAAATCCAGTGTTAAAAATGGCATTAAACCCCTAGTAAGAAATCATGAATAAGAGAAAATAAACAAACATACAGTGAGATGCATCATCTCCTTTTGTGGAGGAGCCAGGTTAGACTGCAAAGTAAGAAATGGTTTTTATTCACTTTCAGGAAGTATCACTCTCCATGTGTCTGGCAGTCTTTCAGCAGCCTCAACAAATGTTAGCAAAGGTGAGATTTCACTGAGTCTGGGACACCAAAGACTTCCTTCTCCTATGTCCAAGGCACACTGAAAATCAGGGCTGAAAAGCCACCAGTAGAAGTGGAAAGCAATGTATTACCAGAGAAGGATTTGGTTAAGATTTGGTCTCCACTCACACTCAAAAGATCCTAAGAGTCACACATGAACCAAACATATCTCCACATGCTAATGTGAACCAAACATGTCCTCCATGCTTAGTCCCATGTTCACTCTTCTCCCCAAGAACGAGTTCACCTAAGAAAACACGATGCCTATGTGAGAAGGACATGAAAAGGGGTTGGGAGACCAGAGTCCCACTGTTTGAGTCTGTTCTCTAAAGTCTTCAAAGAAAAAAAAATGCCTCAAACTCCAAGAACTGAGAAAAAAAAAGCAAAGGTCTTTGGCCTTCTCTATGATTCCAATCAAGATTTATTCAGAATTGGTATATGTTAGATAAAGGAAATAAATTTCTTAATTCAGTAATTTAAAACCTCCATGGTAACTGGACCTATTAATAAAAACAGAAGCAGGTGGTGTGGTATTTAAGGCAGCTGGATCTACATGGCCCACTGGGTGGTTTAAGTCCCAAACATGGTGGTTTGAAAAAGCCAGTTGTTTGTGTATGTTTGCGTGTCCGTGTGTGTACCCAAATCCTGAGAGGAGAAGGGAATGCAATGCGCCATCTACCCAGGGGGTATTTTCTCATTTTCTCTCTCTGTCTTCAGTTAACACAGGCACCACATAGCTAAAATTACAAGAAAAAAAAAAAAAGTATCTTCAATGTACATATTTTCATAGGACATCCCTAACCAGTGAGATGTAAGTAAGGAAAGAGAAGTGGGAGACATTTCTGCATGTCAAAGACTAGAATCCTTACCTAATCCTCAAAGGCTTCTTCCACAATGCTGAAGGTGACTGACTCCAGGTCACTGGGGAATTCTGGGAAAATAAAATGGAATGTGGGTGTGGTCACTACCTAATGAAGGCAATCAAGTACATGAAAGCAGGCAAATGACTGGAGCCCACCAAGGCCTTCCCAGACCTCCCTTGAAGCCAGGCCCTCAGTTACCGAAAACCTCTGTGTTCTCCTGGTACAGGCCTATGGGCACCTCCTGGACTGAGGTCAGGTCTAGGTCGGTAGAGTAGAGGTCAATGGACTGGTCTAACTCAGTGGACTCCTCTGGGTGAATAGAGGGGCCTAGGTCAATTGGCCCCTTGGGACTGACAGTTACACCAAAGCCAACAGTTAATCCTTCATCACTGGTCGTTCCTAGAGGAGTCAAAAGAAAAGCGCAGCTCAAGTGCCTGCTAGTGAGAATATCTGTACCATCTCCACACCCTTCTCATTCCCAGCTAGACCTTATTCAGAGGAAAACCATGGGACATAAAATGATATACTGAATCAAATGTGGTCTTGTCAAAGTCTCTCTCGGGCTGGAAAGTCCAGTGGAATAACTGCTCCCAGGAATGTGCCCCATGCCCCCTGTCCCACGTCCACTCAGGGCAGCAGTTTAAGAAAGTACATGCAGTATCCTGCCTCTCAATGTGCACTGGTCAGGCCGGAGAACAGGAAAATGCCAAGACTCTCCCTATGTAATCCTTCCAGGCTCCTGAAAGCTAAATACAAAAAGCAAGAGGGTTGAAGGAGCAAGAAAAACAGCTGTTTCTAAGGAGTATCAGCAAGAAGGGAAATCGACTGAGAAGTAGGCTACTCCTTCCACTTTTTATTTAATGGGCTACATCTAGTACACATCCCCAGCCTGTGCCATAGCTCTAACACACAACCAGACATTATGGGGCTCGCAAACCACATGGGCATCCTAACGGAGTGTGTTGGCTAAGCATGCAACAGGGGCTCCTTCGGCCATCATGAATGCAGCTATGTGGGTCACTGAGGCAGGTTATGGGAGCCCCTGGGAGGCCACAGTCATCAGTGCTCTGACTCGCCATATCATATAGTCGTATTGCAGTCAAGAAACACAAAGCAGCATCTCAGAAATTGGGAGCTACCTAAAACAAGCTCAGGGAGGACCAGTAGATGACATGGAGGTGAAGGTGTCTGGGAAAATAAAATGGAATGTGGGTGTGGTCACTACCTAATGAAGGCAATCAAGTACATGAAAGCAGGCAAATGACTGGAGCCCACCAAGGCCTTCCCAGACCTCCCTTGAAGCCAGGCCCTCAGTTACCGAAAACCTCTGTGTTCTCCTGGTACAGGCCTATGGGCACCTCCTGGACTGAGGTCAGGTCTAGGTCGGTAGAGTAGAGGTCAATGGACTGGTCTAACTCAGTGGACTCCTCTGGGTGAATAGAGGGGCCTAGGTCAATTGGCCCCTTGGGACTGACAGTTACACCAAAGCCAACAGTTAATCCTTCATCACTGGTCGTTCCTAGAGGAGTCAAAAGAAAAGCGCAGCTCAAGTGCCTGCTAGTGAGAATATCTGTACCATCTCCACACCCTTCTCATTCCCAGCTAGACCTTATTCAGAGGAAAACCATGGGACATAAAATGATATACTGAATCAAATGTGGTCTTGTCAAAGTCTCTCTCGGGCTGGAAAGTCCAGTGGAATAACTGCTCCCAGGAATGTGCCCCATGCCCCCTGTCCCACGTCCACTCAGGGCAGCAGTTTAAGAAAGTACATGCAGTATCCTGCCTCTCAATGTGCACTGGTCAGGCCGGAGAACAGGAAAATGCCAAGACTCTCCCTATGTAATCCTTCCAGGCTCCTGAAAGCTAAATACAAAAAGCAAGAGGGTTGAAGGAGCAAGAAAAACAGCTGTTTCTAAGGAGTATCAGCAAGAAGGGAAATCGACTGAGAAGTAGGCTACTCCTTCCACTTTTTATTTAATGGGCTACATCTAGTACACATCCCCAGCCTGTGCCATAGCTCTAACACACAACCAGACATTATGGGGCTCGCAAACCACATGGGCATCCTAACGGAGTGTGTTGGCTAAGCATGCAACAGGGGCTCCTTCGGCCATCATGAATGCAGCTATGTGGGTCACTGAGGCAGGTTATGGGAGCCCCTGGGAGGCCACAGTCATCAGTGCTCTGACTCGCCATATCATATAGTCGTATTGCAGTCAAGAAACACAAAGCAGCATCTCAGAAATTGGGAGCTACCTAAAACAAGCTCAGGGAGGACCAGTAGATGACATGGAGGTGAAGGTGGCTGGATCCCACCTGGCCAACAGTGCAGTTCGAGTACTGGATTGAGTGGCTTGAAAACCACACTGGGAGCTTGTGCCTGCCTGCCCAAAGTCCCAAGATAAGAATGGAGGAGAAGGAATTCTTTCATGGCCATCCTCCCTAGAAGACATTCGTTCTCTCTCTCTCTCTCTCTCTCTCTCTCTCTCTTTCTCTCTCTCAGCACCGTGTACCCTATAGCAAATTTTAAAAAGAAAAATTATAAAAACAAACAAATACAGAAGAGCTGAGAGGAGGGAACAAAGGAAGTAACCATGTTAATGCCAATTAGTGAACAGTTTTGTTCTGAGAAATTAGCCTGAATTCTGAAGAACTAGAAAAGAAAGCTTTTGGGTAAAAACTCCAAGACAGCTACTTTTCTCCTTCTTCACTGTGACTCACAAGTTTCCTTCCAGACTCACTGATTTTCATAGCTGTGACTGAGCAAGCTAATAAAGCATTCTGGAAAATTCACTGTGCTCCACTGAAGGGGCAGATATTGGCCAAAAAACCTGAACCTGAATTAAATAGATTGACACTTCTTTAGTACCTAAGAGAATAGGAGCCCCAGAAAAATCTTAGTACTTCTATAATCACCTACCCTAATCATATCTGGCCCAGACTATTACCGTCATGAGCTCTTGGCAAATATTGAATGCAAAGCTTAGCTTAGTCACTCAACCACCCAAGGCCTCAGACTCAGCTGCCCATCCCCACTTTAAGACCAAGTTGACAGTTGTTCACCCAAATTCACTGTACGACTTTCTTGCAGTTTTCTCTTTATCTCTTTGTTAGTTTGTCTGTCTCTCCCCCTGAACACACACGACAGCCCTGCTCTCCAAGAGAGCACTATAGTTGACTTACTTGGGAGATGTGTGGGATAGGCCAGGGCCAGGGCACACAAGGCAGAGCAGACCACGGCTGTCCTGAGCATGGTGGGCCACAGGGAGGAAGGAAGCTGGGAGCTGAGCAGGCTGAGCAGGCAGCCAGGCCTGGAGTGTGTCCACAGAAAGCTCCTCTGGGCTTTTATAGCACCCTCAGCCCCTTGTCCCTGCAGGCAGCATTCCCAGGTGGTTGTTAAAGGAAAAAAAAAAAAAAAGAAAGAAAGAAAGTCTCACCTGCACAATGAGAATGCAGGGGGAGTGGGGAGGGAGGGGCAAGGAGAGTATTTGGAGGAAAACTCTGACAAGGTCTTTGTAGTTAGGTTTGTTGCTCCATTTCCTTTGGCACCACTCATTCTCTGAGGGCAGGAGGGAAATTTTCATTCTACCAGGTCAATAAGGGGCTCCTCTGCCTTGCCCAAAAAGAACAAGCAGATAACTCCAGACCCAAGTTAAATGTGGCTTTGCTGAGCCTCCACATGCTATTTTATGTCAGAGGGAGGAACCAAGGTTGGAAGTCAGAGCCTACTATCTACCTGGAGAGGCCCTGGATAGATACTGGATAGGCCTGGCTGCAAACAGTACCCTCACCCTGAGCATCCGTGAAAGAAAACTGTGGACAAGAGTTCTCAACTACTGCATGACTGCCATCAGGGAATAAGAGAAGAATTTCAAGTAATACTACATCATTCTAGGTGTGCTGCACTTGACTGTCATGGACCTATGTGGCAGGCATTATCATCCCCATTTTTCTGATGAGGAATCTCAAGAGTCTGAGATGAAATGATTCCAGATTTACCCAGAGATGTTCCCTCTCTGCAGGGATGTCATTAACACTGAGGACCTTTCGACTCTCAGCCTCTGCGGACCAGTAGCAGCTGCCATGTGTCTGTGGCTGGTGTCGGCCTCAAACCCACAGAAGACACACAGAATAGGCGCAAGAAAATGCAAGGATGAGGGATCAGCTCACTTAAGTCAGCCTCGGCTCAATTAAAAGTCCTAGCACTGGGCCAGCGGGTAGCTTTGTGGTTAAGGGTGCCGGACTCCCACATGACCAACAGCGGTTCGAGTTCCGGACCTGGTAGCCTACTTTCTCATTTTCTCTCTCTCTCTCTCTCTCTCTCTCTCTCTCTCTCTCACTCTCTCTCTCTTGCTCTCTCACTCTATTCCTCTATGGTCAAATTAAAAAATAAATAAAGTTAAATAAAATAACTCTTTAAAAAAATGTCATAGCACCACCTGAGCCAGCAGGTGGCATAGTAGTTAAGATGCTGGATCTCACATGGCAGACTCTGCATTTGAGTCCCCATTTCATAGCTTGAAAATCACATGGGGCAGGACCAGCAGATGGTGTAATAGTTATGTAGCTGGATTCCCACGTAATCAACCACAGTTTGAGTCCCTGACCTGGCAGCTTAAAACTCACACTGGGCACGTGTGTGTTCATGGCCCAGATTCCGAGAGGAGACTGGAGGAGAAGGAATTGCAGGGTGGCCATTCCTCCCAAAGGGTGATTTTTCACTTTCTGTCTCTCTGTCTCTCTGTCTCTCTGCTGAATGCATGCATGCTACATTAAAAAAAAAAAAAAAACTTCTAAGAAGAAAGAAAGAAACACATGGGGCACAGGTGCATGCATGCATGCCCCAAATCCCAAGAGGCTAATGGAGGAAAAGGCATTGCTGCATGATCATCCCCCCTGGGGGAAAGGGGGAGAATTTCTTTTTCCTTCTCTCTCTGTCTTTCCAGAGAGCACATGCACCCTTTAGCAAATTAAGATGATAATAATGCTTAAATATGCAATATCAGCATATACTACTTTATTGTAATACTAACCCTAAAGTAATCTTATTATTCCCCTTTTCTAGATGAGAAAACCATGGCGCAGAGAGATTAGTTAACTCTCGAGAGGTCGCATAGCAAATGCTGTGTAGTAGGAAGCAAATCCACAGGCATTCTGATGCTGGAGTCCTGCTCTCAAGCTCTCTCCTGTCTCTCAGTCAGGTTATCTTTCTAATCTCCTCATTGCTCACTTCGTTCGGTGAAATGTGGCATTACTTGAGGCTTCACCCTAAAGGAAGGGAAAAACACACATACATACACATACACACACCAGGGAACATTTTGTTTTTCTAGAAACAATTTCCATGGCAAGCCCTATGCAATGAAGTGAAACCAAAACACAATATTCAG